AATAACAAATTAATTTAAATGTAATTATCTTTATTAAGCTTAAACATAAAGAATATTTATTAATTATAAACCTTAAATTTTATTTCTTTTTATTAATAGAATAATATTTGTATAATAAGAATTACTTAGAATAAACTTAATTAGATAGTAGAATATTAAATCATAAATAATAGGAAATTTCTTATATAATTATTTTATTATAAACACTTCAATTTTAATAAAGAAAAATATAAAATATTCTATTCAATAAAAAAAATCTAATTAAAACTCTATTTTAATTATTATTATACTTATAAAATTTTGTTTATAATTGTTATAAGCTAATTTATTTATATAAGATCTTAAAAATAAATATCTCTAAGTTTTTAATTAAAAAATCTGAACTTAATAATATGGAGATTCAATAAAAACTTTCTCTCTAATTATAAAATAAGTTACTTACATTCTTTTCATATTATATAAATACTTTACTATTATATTAAATATAAAATCATAAGATTAAGCTGATACCTAAAAAGAAGTCATTATACTTTAAAAACCACCCGTTATTATTATTAAAGCTTAAAGTTATATATAAATAAATTAATAATAATCTTAATAAAGATTTCATTTAGGAATCAAGATTATATTGTTACGACGGTATTCAACATACCGCGTCACATGGCCAAACGGTCACGTGATGGACCTAGAGGATCTAGGGGATCGAAGAATAAATGTTTAGATCTATAAGATCTAAAGGATTCAAGTAGAATAAAGTCTTATGGTTTTGTAGAGAATGAAGGTCTATATAAGGAATAGGGTTTCTTTATATATAAAGCTTTATACTTAAGAATAATTATTAGTTTTATTACTATAGTTACAAGAATTATAATTAATTATAATCTTATTGAATTCCTATTTGAAGTTTAGATTAAATTATCTAGAGAGAACTCTAGACACTTCCACATAACTCTAGAGGCAGCTCTCATAACATATATAATACTATACTCTTACTTTTAGCTATTAAGTTAAAGGGCGGTATACGTATATATTAAGATTATTAAGAATTAAATAATATTATAATAAAAAATCATTATTTACTTTATATTATTCACGAAATTCTAAATATTCTTTATAATACTATAATATATATAAAATTAAATATTATTATTACTTTTAATAAACTTTATATTATAAAAAGTAATGAATAAAAAATAATTTTTATTATTCATTTTAGTCTTTTAGAGTTATTTGTTATACTCTTTAATCTTTATAATATATTAATATTCTTTTAACATTATATTAATTATTGTGGCGGGCATCTTAATGATTATGGTAAAGCTGTTCTATTCTTCTTATCAAGGCTACGCTATTATATACACACTTGCTTAGGTAAGCGACGCTACCGGGTAGCGTGCTACAATTATACTCTATTTAATAAATTGAATAAATATTACATAGTATATTTAAATAATATTTTTATATATTTAATAGATAAATTGGAATATAAAAATTAATAGATATTAAATTATAAATTGATATAAACAAGTACAAACTTAAAAATTGTTTTTATTTATTATTTAGAATTAATAATTATAATTAAAGGTATATAAATAGATTCTGAAAAAGTTATTGTAATTATATTCTAGGAATAATTATTTTAATGAAAAATCTATAATACTTTTTAAGATTTGTTAATTCTATTAATAATTTATAAAGGACTTTTTAAAGATTTATCAGCCTTTTTATAATTTATTATAAAAGAATATTAGTTAATCTTGAAATATATTGTATAAAAATACTTTCATTATATTTAAGAATGTATTCATAATAGTATTAATTTTTATATATTTTAATTATAATAAGCAAACGATCTTGAAAATAAATACTTTAAATTAAGTATTGGGGGAAATACTTTTTTAATATAATTCTAATAGTTTTTTATAATTAATAACTTATTTCTTAATAAAATATTTTATAATAGAATATAATTATAGGATTTATAATAAAAGCTTTTTATAATTATTAAGTTTATGGAGAAATAATAATTAAAACTTTAAAGTTTGTAATAGAAATTTAAGATTCTTATTAATTATAAAAACCTAAAGTATTTTATTATAATAAAAAGTTTAAATTAACAATAAATCTATTAATTTAAATTCCTCTTTTATTATAATTTTTATATAGTTTATTAATCAGGGTTTAAAATTATTCAATTAGATATTTTAAGTTGAAAAAATAAGAATAAATCAAACTTTATAATTAAAGATAATAAATATTTAAAAAATAAAAAATATATAATTTATTAGTAAACAAATTCAATATTAATCTTTATAATAAATTAAAAGCTAATATTTACTTAATTTTAATAGACCTTATAATATTTATAGAGAATAAATTAATTAATGAATTAATTAATAATGTTTATAAAAGATTAAATATAATTCATTAATTTATTATAGTAATTGAGGATTAGTATATATGTAAATAATTAGTAGAATTTAGGAAAATACTTTGAATTATTATGTAAGATTGTTATGTAATAAATAATAAAATATATTATTGAGAGAGATTATGGATTTTATTAAATAATAAATTAAAAATACAAATCATTTATAGAATATATTTATTTAATTCAGCTGGGCATTTAGGTTGAATTAAAACAATCGATTTTATTTTTCATATATATTAATAATTATAAATATATTAGAAGATTATTTTATATATATAAATATATGATTTTTATATATATATAAAATTATTAAAATTAATTCCAATTAAATTCCTATATTTATTATTAATTCTCTTTCAACCTAATGTAATATATTAATAAATTATATTATATTACTTTTAGATTATATTTATTATAATTTTATATATAAGTATATTTTAATTATTTTTTATCAATTAACTAAAATAAAACACTTTATAAAAATTAGAGTGTTTATAATAAAAAAACTTATTGATATTTTTATTAATTATATTTATATTTTATATAATCTATTAGATAATATTATTTTTAATTATAATATATAGTTTATATTTGATTTTTGGTTTTAATTAATTAAACAATTAATTATAACTTTTTAACACTTTTTAATATTTTATTTATAAATAGATAGATAAATCGAATAAATAAATTTTGTTTTTAAGTAATATTTATAAGTATTTTTAAATTTTTATTAGAATAATTAAATATAGTGGTTATCTTTTATTAAATTCACATTGAATAATATAATTTTGAAGATTATTAACTATTGTTATTCTTTATTAATTATAAATTTAATTCATATATTAGTATAAACCTAATAAATCTTACTCATCAAATATAACTATAATATAAAAATGAGAGTTTTTTAAGGATAATAAAATAATGAATAGAATAAAAAGAATTCTATTATAACTATAAGCTTTTGCTAGGCAAATAATTATAATATATAAAGAAAATGTAAATCAGCATTATATTAACTCATCATATTATTATATAAACCAAAAAATGTTTATAAATATTAAGAATATAAAAACCTTTTGAAAAGCAAAGAAATTAATAATTAATAAATAAAACCATATAAGATTATAAAAGTTTATCCTCATTTTTATCTTATTCAATTATTAAACAATATTTAAATATTTCTTGCTTTTCATTATTCATTATTTATTTTTATAATTAACAAAATATATTTTTTAATATAAATTATAATCAATAAATTAAAATCAATTATTATTAAAAAAAAAAATTTAAAAAAAAATAATAACGAAAATAAATTAGTATAAAAATAGATCTTTAAAGAAGTTATAGATAATTATAATAAAAATGATCATTATTATTTAATCAAATAAAATTATTATACTTTTATTTAATAATTAATAGTAAATTTGAAAGAAAATAAAAATTATTAGTAAAATATTATTATATATACCCTAAAAAGTCTGATTTATTAAAATAAATATTGAATAATTCTAAAATTAAGGTAATTTTATTATCTATATTAAAATACTTAGAGAAGGTATAGAAAGCTTAAAGATCAATTTATAAAAGAAAAGTTAAATTAATATAAAATATTTAAGCTATTAATTTAACAAATTTAATTATTTATTTAATTTATATATAATAGTAAACTATATAATGATTTAATTTGCTTAGAATAAATAAGTCCTTAAAAGAAGGTACTATTATAGAATTAATATATAATTATATAAATATCTAAGATATTTATTCTTTATATAATCGGCATCTCTTTATCTTTTTCTTTACTCTTTATAGAATATTATATATTTTATCTAGTACCTATCTCTTATATTGTGATATTATATAAAAAGTTTTTGAAGAATTATATTAACTAATAAAGAAAGTGTATGGTTATACATAGACGAATTCTATATATAAAATAAAATGACTCATATAGTAATATAGTCTATATACTAATGAACTAAGTTAAGTTCTTTAATTAGAATCTATTAAAAATTACTAACTAATCTTTTTATTATATTTCTATCTTAAATCCTTTATTAAATTTGAATTCGAATTCTTATTTGAATTTATTTATGTATAGATTAAAAACAAACTGAATTCCTATTTATTAATATATTTAATATTTATAGTATAATAACAAAGCTTGAAAACCTTAGTGACCGTTGTTGACAGAATCGGTAGACGAGATCAACAAGTAGAAATGAAGTATAGACAATGAGTACGCCAATGACAGTGAAAGAGGCATAGAAAGTTCGGAAATATCATTCTATTATATCATGTTATTATAAAACATCTGATCTTATCCTTGATAATCATTCCATCCAATCGTGGCGTGTCATGAGCCCAAAACTGCGATACGTAAATTGACAGTATCCTGCCCATTTTTGTTATTTCTTGAGGTGAAGTTCTAAACATCTCTCTAATTGTTCTTGACGATCAATTTATGATCTTCTCAATGGCAATCCACGAATTATATGCCTCACTGGCCACTATAGATGCCATTCTTAATTCTAACTTAGGTGTATCTACCACCTAATACTTTAACCCATCACCAGAATTTAAGACCCACCAACAACGGCTTCAAGGCTCCAAACGTCAGCAACATATCTTCCCTCCGCATAGTTCTTGCAAATTGAAAAACCCAAACGGGACTAGACCAACAAATGAACACCAATACCCAAATAAAACCAATTATCTTCCCCAACAAAGTATTCTTCTTTCCGCCCATAAGTCTCCAAATTTCCTGAACCTCATCTTCAATCATGATACCTAGGGACTGTGCACAGAAAAATGACATTGCACCGGATTGTGCTGGGCAGATACCACTTCCATAATCTGCGGCTACATGTGTTGCGCCTGAGACTGCAAATGTAAGGAATATCTTGAGGTAGCGAGCGATGAGGGTTGATCGAGGAATATGGAGGATGGTGTGAGTGATAAACTCGGCGGGACCTTTGATGGTGAGTTGGATATTTTGGTGCCAGGATTTGCTGCATGAATGTTAGTTTGTTTTCTCAGTATTGGAACTTCATCAAACAAATCAGAAAACTTACGCCCAGAATCCTCTAATCGTGTAAGCATGTCTGGCTTCCCCAAAGAAAGGTCTCCACTGCCTTACCTCTCCACCACCAAGTCCAACATCCAATAACGCAGCGACCGAGAAGAAAAACTGAAGATAACAAAACTGGCACACCCAGTAAAGAATACTGATGGTGACTCTGGTGATAATCTGGTCTCGAAGATTGTGGATACCGTCACCAAACATTTTTCCAAACCATGGAATATTTTCATCGCTCATCCATTTCTGATTTACATTTAGTTGTCCATCAATAGCAGCCGTATTCAAAAAATACAGGGCGACGATTACAGTAGTATGATGTAAACAAAATCTCCATCTAGTCGGGCCAAGAATAGTATCCTTTGCATTGAAAAACGGGACATTGGAAACCTCCAGCGAAGTGCCGATATATCTAGTATTTCCGACTACCATTTATCCCCATTTCGATTTTGTTTGTTTCTTCTCTTTCCCTTTCATTTTCTCCTCCGATGCTCTTGCGTCTCAAGTCGTCTTTTCCATATTGCCAGTTTCGAATAATAAACCGATCGAATATAACATTGGGCATATTAAAAGAACCACTGGCTAGAAAGCGACCGGCCCAGCCTGTTGTATTGACATGTTCATTCCAGTTTGACAGTGCGATGTAAGAGAGGAATACGCTCAGCGCGAAAGCTAGAAGGCGTTCACTGCGAGTTGTGGTATGGACTGCGGTCAGGTTGGCGAGAAGAATGTTAGCAAAGAAGAGGGGAAGAGGATGAGTGAGGAGTGTTACGATAGTCATGATGGGATCTGACAAAGTTCGAACTTTTTTTTGAGAAGGAAATTGTAAGAGTGTCGCAAGGCAAACTTGATCAATAAATGAGTATATGCTATACGCTTAGCTATCACGTGAAATGTATGTGGTGATCATTTTCGGGACGAGAATACTGCATTTCTGCTACGAACCCTAATATTCAAACGTAATCGTCCCATTTTGCTGTGCCAAAAGTCACTTCAATCTTTCAAACTCATGCTACAAAATCCAAGACGAAATTCAAGGGCAAAGCTTTCTCTGTTTTTCACAAGCGAGTTACGTCATGGTAGTACCAACGCCCCTTAGCTCTGATCCTTAACAGACGATGTACGTGATCTCACATGTAGGAATTTCGGTTTATTTAAAGGTTAATCCGTGATTATATATAAGATCTAGAGCTTCTCATTTCGCACGATACAAAGTATAAGTGACTGAGCTTAATGATTGGTGAAATCAAGAACAACTACTTTCTAGCTGACAACGTAACTCATTGGTGCCTTATTATTCTTAAGCTTCACTTGTATTCCCTTAGAGCATTTCTCCTTGCATATTCGGTGAGTGGTTTTGCAACGAATAGTTCACTTTCTATAAGATTCCACGACCCCGAAAAAACATTCTAACATTATATGGAGTTAGATGGTTTAATATTATTAAACAAAATCGAACTCTGCTTTTCTTATTCGTCACTCATATCTCTCTCATTTCTTCCCCTCAAACTCCAACCTCGCCCAAAAATCCTTTACTAATTCCTCCTCATCAATCCATTCATCACCCGCTCAAATATAAAAGCTCGGCAAATTAGCCACTATATAATCAAAGCTCGTACTCCTGAAATTATCACTTATGAATCCCCCGAAAGTCGCATACAAATTTAGCAACTTTGCTCCATTGCTATATTGCGGCCAATTCGCATATGCACTACTCGTCCCATTGTTTGGGTTCAAAGTATTTACAAAACTCAAATAATATGCTTTACTAGCACTAGCCGCATAATTTGGGTTGATACCGTTGTAGACCTGTAAAATATCTGAGCCGTGGAAGGTGCCGAGAACAGGGGTTCCGTAATCATAGGATGAGAGATAAGACCAGGAGGGAACAGTTGGTGCGACTTTCAGTGCGGTTTGAAGAAATACACGACGAGTGAGAGTGAACGTGAGATCTCCGAGGATGGCGGCTAGACGTTTGAATTGGGGATACCAATTGTTCAACAGGAAGGTTCGGAAAGGGGAACCAGAAATCAAGTCATTGGGGTATGTGTTGAGAAGCCCGGTGATAACGGAGGTAGGTGCGTTATGGAAAAAGAAATCGGAGAAATAGGTTGTAAGTTGAGCGGTTGTGGAGATGTTACTCTGGAAAAGAGCAAAGATTGTTCCTTCATCCTCTTGGTCGCCAATTATAAAAGGGACCTTTGCCCAGTTTCCTGACGCGAGGAGAAGGTCGGGGGATTTGGTGAGAGCGGTACCGTCTGGACGAGGAAGATATGATAGTGCGATAGACGAGTAACTAAGGAGGCCAGGAACAGAGTTTGTAGCATTGAGAAGTGTGGAATAGGGCACGCCTCGTAAGCAAGTTAGAGTATCGGCTGCAGCTGAACATCCTGCTGAGGCTACGACATTATCGTAGATGATTTGTCCCTTTGGACAATCGACTGGGTCTGCTGGGACGATACTTCCTGAATTCATAATTGCTCCGCGGAATAATGATTTGCCCTTGTATGTGTTGTCACCTCCATATAAAGCCATTTGATCAAAGACTGAGATTGCACCAGCTGATTCTCCCCAGATAGTTACCTTAGATGGATCACCACCGAATGAAGCAATATTATCAGCCACCCTTTAGAGTCTTCGTTAGTATGAATCTAAGACTCTTCAACAGAACAACATACCATTGCAATCCCAATCTCTGATCCAACAATCCCAAATTCGCACTACCATCCGCCAAAATCTCCGCTCCAGGCAAAAATCCAAATCCACCGACCCTATATGCCACTTGGACGAAAATAATCGGTTTGCCCTCCGCAATACTTTCGGCTACCCATGAAGATCCATCGTACATCCCTGTTCCTCCCAATTCGAATCCTCCTCCAAAAATCCAAAACAAGACTGGTAATTGAGATGAAGCGGTTGTACCAACTGGTCTTTGAATATTCAGATACAGACAATCTTCTCCAGCATTGAGAACTTCTTGGAAGACTGGTGTATTAAGGAGAAGGCCTAGTGCTGATGTAGGAATTGCATCGTTAATAGTAGTACTAAAGAAGAATTGAGGACAAGAAGCTGCTTGGGCTGTTGCTTTGACTGTGCCCAACGCAGAGGTGATGGGTTGAGGTGGTTTAAGTCGAAGTGCACCAATGGGAGGTTTGGCAAATGGAATACCAGCAAAGGTTTCGACAGTTACGCCAGCACCTCCAATGATTGTAGCTGCTGGTGATGCAATTGTTACTGTTGGAGCTGCAGCTCTTTCTTCAATTGGTACATCCCGCTCGACATTTTCGACTGGAAGAGCAAATGCGGTTGACATAAGAGCATAAATTGATACCAGCGAGAGCTTCATGATGATTGATGAATTGGAATATGGCTCTACCGGAAAGAAAATAGGATAATGAGTGAAGACAACCGAGAATGGAAGGCCACCACTGCGATCCTCCCTCGAATTATAACAAACATCAGAGTTCCATTATTTCTCATTTTCAGAAGGAAATCTAGTAAATTTTTTATCTCTTCAACATGTGCTTCCTCGGTCAGTGACTACAGGATCATCCACCTGACCACTTTCTTTTCTTTTAACTTGATCTCTCATAGCTTGACATCTCGAATCCATCGCCGAATGGCCATAAGAATGGTGCCTTACTTGATGGCACACAACCTTTTTGCATTTGCCGGCGCCAAAGAGATAAGCTGGCCAAATCCGAAATAGATTGGTCAATGTTCTAAAATTGAACTTTAGAGTGGATGGGAAAGTTTAATAGTGGTCTTGGATTAGTCGGGTCCTGAGGTCGTGTGAGAGATCATTTCCTGTTATGAAAATGAACCCCTGGTACCTATATGCGTGTACGACCGAATATATTCCCATTACGGGAGCAAGTGTGATTGAAAGGTATGGAAGTGTGGGGATGCGGGGTGAGGCTAAATTGACATACCGTTCTAATAACTCAAATCCCATCCATCAAAGTCCGAATAGAGCGTAAGTACGAACTTATGCGAGCCCTACATTGTATATTTCACATGTCTGAGGACCAAAATAAATTTAATGGCCTTTGATCTCATTCAGGTCGTGTAATACAGAAATCGCCAAGCAATGTTTACCAAAACGGTCATCAACCGAGGCCAAATACAAGTACAAGGTTCCCCGCATCAACACAGAAGGATCTTACAATCAAGAAATCCTTCAATAATTAATTTATTCCTTGCTTATGCGTATAAGGAGTGGATTATGTGAGTATGTGGTGGTACCTTCGTACCATGAATGTAGAATTATTTTTCCGTGTGATCTTGGCAACTTTGCTTAATGAGGATTTTGTCCCGAGAAATGCCTTGTAGATGCCTACAACGTGACTATCTCAATTTTGTTTGAGAGCTCCAAGGAAATGATAAGAACTTCAGCCCAGCAGTCGCTAGTTCTCGGCAGATTCTTGGAGAATGAAGCCCAGCATGCGAGGGCTTTCAAATCAAGTATCACGAAAAAAAAAACGAGCAAATAAAACACGCGGCAGTTATAACCCGAAAATTGTTCAGTTCGTTGAAGTCAAAGATACTAATCTTCGTTTGCTAAAGTGGACAAATATGGATCAACTTCGGTATAACGGAATGCCGAAGCTTCAACGAAGTCCTAACCTACCCTACGTTCAAAAGTCGGGGATCAATTTTGAACTTGAACAAAGAATGTTATCGGTGTGCATTTAAAGCAGCGCAATACTGCTAATGATACCAGTCACTTCTATATCTCATTTGTGTCCCCAAATTCTTCATGCCGATTCACACTTCTTTCTTTATCTTTTGCAGCCTTAGAGGCGTTGCATTTCTTCAAGTAGTGGCGTTTATCACCAAATACCACAAGGAAAATCATACCTACCATTGCACTCGCAATAATACAGGCCTTCTTCGAACCGTCCATGTAAGACTTGAAAATGGCTGGTAATTGTTCAGCAGTGAAAACATTTCTCCATTCCCTGGCACCAGTTGAGACAACCTTCATTGGTGACACCATTGAATCATAGACTGTGACGCTTTTGATCAGAATTTCAGCAAAAGCAGGTTCAGCGGCAAGGTCTTCCTGGGGTCCATGAGAAAAGAATCATTGCTATTGCCGGATAATATTTCATTTGAAGACGTCAATGCCTGCACTGCAATTGTGGACACTTGAATACCAAAGCCATAGCTACGCCCGCAAGAGGTTGATATTAGATCTACTTCGAGCTGTGGGTACCGATGCCTTGGGTGTAAAAGAGAGCGGCGGTGATAGGGCTCAGAGCACTACTAAGAGCATGAAAGCAATGCCACCGCAAACCGTCCTGTCTTTCAACAAACCATTGCCTAACATCGCACGTCCCCCCAGCCAGATCCGGACAATCATGAAGATAATGAAGAGAAGGATCGAGCCACGAGAAGTCCATTTACCACGGGTGACTACCAGGGGTATGTAATTTTGGTTTTCTGAAGAGTAAGTAGATATTATATGACGGAACAGATGATCGCGATAAATTCGATCATATTCGTATTGGGGGTCTTTTCGCGAAATGTTGCTTTCACTGCTTTTGCTGTATCGGGAGCAATAAAGACAAGTGCATTTATTACCACCGAGGCTCCACCAAAAGAAAGATTTATAACTAAGCCTAGACAAGATCGGTTATTCCTTGGCCTTTTGAAATTCAGAAATATCTAACATACACCATCGTCACAATACATGTGATATGTGTTGGCCTTCTACCAAAAGGCCAATCACACTAGCAACACCCCACGCAGAACCAGCAAGTCCAGTATATGCAGCTCCTCTCTCAGGAATTGCAATAGATACAATTACGGTGAATGAGCCGGGAATAAAATCGCCAACTGCTAGACCAGCCCGTGGATGACGAGCGATAAATATGGTAGTGTCTCGAGGAACACCTAAACACGATACTTAACGCTCCATTTGTCAAATCTGGTCGTTAAGGACCTGGATGTCATAAAGTGTACGGAGAGGGGAGCATACCGCAAATGAAACTGCCGCACTTAAAAATAACAATTGATACCAAGGTATGTTCATTTCAACAGAAAACATTTGTACGCCTCGCCCCAGGCGGACTGAAAGTTGGACAAGGCGAGGAGAAAGCCACTTCAATACTATCCGACGACCCAGGTGCCATGAAAATTATCATGTTGGGTACCTATAGCTTGTGATGTGGCGTTCCGCGAATATAGGAATGTTAATATACCCAGTGTAATATCTAGAGCGCAAAGGAATTCTATCGTAATAGATCAAGGCATTTCAACCAACAACTTCGATACTTGACGTGAAATTCAGTGCCTGGCTTTGCATTCTATCGCCAACAACATCAAGAAGATTGCCAAGCATAGCGAGTCGAGAATAAGAGCCAGTCTTGCGCCTGTGGGATACTCGTCTCTTCGAACAGCAGCACGTACATTCTTTGGTGTCACGGTTGACTTTTCACCATTATCGCTGATTGTTCTGTTGTACTTGGTATTCTGCCTGCAACTTTAAATCCGTTCTTGGTCGTTTTGCGTATAATGCTCATATCATGAATAGACCTGGAGAGAGCTGGGAGGACGATTTTGAAACGTGGGGATGTATTGTAGTGTTCTGTAGAGACGACGGATGACTTGCTTGGTGTGAAACCCTGCGAATACCAAAATGCTTTCGGGGAGCAGATGATTATTGAAACACAAATAGCGACTATTTCCAGCCAAAAGGTTGGTGATACGCCATCCCAGACCATGGCAAGGTTGCCGAGTACTCGGTAGGATTATCTTTCTGATGAACATTTCTGAGCCACATGGCATTTTCTTTAGATGGGTTTTCCATCTACGATAAACGCTCACGTTGGCAAGTATTAGGAGCGCATTTTCCCGTCATATTTCAACAATACCACAAGGATTGATGCATCGGGAGGTTTATCTATCTGCTCCATTCCAACATGCTGTATATGTTGTATGTTTTTTGATTGTGATATAAAAGGGGACGAAACAGATGCAAATGCATGTAAGAATGACGCATGAAAGAGAGATCGAACGCACGTGCACGTGCATACCCAGTTTATTTTGTTGCGCTTGATATTTCATTGGTTAATTGAGTATCACATGTGGTGGCGGGGGATAGGACCCTTGAAAACAAACATCGTATGTATCTGCCAATTCCCTGGATACCTGTTTTGAGTGACGGATTTGATCCTTTCCATTGTTGACCTATCTTTTATGTTACTAACTGCGAGTGGTGCTTATACTCCCTCGACACTTCGTAGATTGAATTTCCTAGCACTCAGACCCGATCCTCTAATAATTCGCACAATTCACTTACTTCTATCTATTTCTTTGCATCCACCAACCCACATCACATCTACTTCCAAGGTTCGTAAAGAAGAAGCAAGAGAAGACTAATACGGCTAGGAGACAATCAAGAATCTTCTGCGATCCACATCCACAATAGCTAATAAAAGTGGCATTCAGCTCCTCGAAGGTGGGGTAGTGCTTTATCCCACAATACATGTGAGAGAGAAAAGCGAGAGCTTGGGATTTGGAGATATTGATCGACGAGCGATTCAAAGCGCCAAACTTCAAATAATCCTCCCTTACACAAATCGAATATTCCATTGATTTCATAATAATTACTCGTATCAGCATCATCATCCAGCAAGATGAATTCACCCCCAGATGTCAATAGTCCGACGGTGCCTCGCAGACCAGCATTGAGAGCAGATACAGATGACATTCATAGCCCCAAGAGTGGACCAACTAAAGGTTAGCAATTGCAATTATTTCTCACAATTATTCAATACTTTCATTGACCCTAGCCTTTCGCTAACCTCTTATCTTTTTAACTTCTCAGTCGTCTCAATTGCGGAGCCAGAACCAGAAGACATACAAGAATTCGAACTTCCTCCTACCGACGAATCTTCAAGAATAAAACATTTCAGTGCCGGTGTTGCAAAAAGAATGACAGGCCGACCAAACATGCCTTCTGCCAGTTCCTCCAAACTATCTCTCCGAAGTCAGAACAGCCTAGAAGAACCAAGTCGAGATGTTCCTTCCCCAGAAGTCTCAAAATCCAATGATGAATCAAAGCATCATCATCACCGCGATAAACTTCTTTCTCAAGTTGCAGAATGGCTTCACTCAGAGAAGGCGAAGAGAACTTCCCGAAAAGCAAGCAAAAGGGAATCCAGAGAGAACGAGGCTCAGGCTGAGAATTTGCCCAATAGAGAAACAACGTCAAAAACAAGAACAATGTCTGATAGTTCCACTTCAAGCGCTCTTTCTTTAGAAAAATTGCAAAGGATCCTGGAGGATAACATGCTAGATTTTGGCCACAATCAACTCCCGCACCTTAGTTCCCCCAAGCGACAATCGAGAAAACGGTCCCTCGTTCGTCCTTCATTGAAACCTTCTCCATCATCTGATACCGAATATAATGAAGGAGATATTGTGGTTCCATCTTGTGATGTGATTCTTGATAATTCAAAAACCCTTGCATATAGTGGTGGCGCTGGATCTTCCATGGAAACAACCACATTAAGCAATGCGAAACGTGTGGAAAAGGAAAGAAAGGCATGGATCCAATTTAAGAATGAAATTGTGAGATTGGCGCACACACTCAGATTGAAAGGATGGAGAAGAGTGCCATTGGATCAAGGTCATGAGATTGAAGTGGAAAGATTAAGTGGTGCTCTCACAAACGCAGTTTATGTTGTTACTCCACCTGCAAATTTACCACCTTCTGCGAGCAGTACGAACATTTCAACCAAGAGTCAAAAACCTCCCCCAAAGTTATTGCTTCGAATATACGGTCCTCAAGTTGAGCATTTGATTGATAGAGAAGCGGAATTGAGTATCTTGAGAAGATTGGCCAGAAAGAAGATTGGACCTAGAATGCTGGGAACTTTCAGAAATGGTCGATTTGAAGAATTCTTCAATGCTCAGACTCTGACAGCTCAAGATCTCAGAATCCCTGAAACTAGCAAGAAAATTGCGAAACGTATGAGAGAATTGCACGATGGTGTTGAATTGCTTCAAGAAGAAAGAGATGATGGTCCATTTGTGTTCAGAAATTGGGATAAATGGGTTGATAGATGTGAGAAGATTATCACATATCTTGACAAACAGATTCTGGAAGGAGATTCTAGTAAAAGTATCAGAGGCGAAGGTTGGAGAGATAGAGGATTAGTTTGTGGTGTCGAATGGCCTGTTTTCAGAACTGCTGTTGAAAAATACAGACAATGGTTAGAGGAGAGTTATGGAGGAAAAGAAGGGCTAAGTCGTAGATTGGTATTTGCCCATAATGATGTATGTTCTTCACTTGATTCTTTACGGTTCCGAACTAATCCCGTTTTCTAGACGCAATATGGCAATATTCTACGCTTGGTACCCGAGCCACCTGTCAATGGATCAGCCCCCTCCCCTCTCCTCCTTCCAATGAATCACCACAAACAGCTGGTAGTCATCGATTTCGAATACGCAAGTGCAAATACCCCTGGCTTAGAATTTGCCAATCATTTTACAGAATGGTGTTACAATTACCACGCGCCTGCTCCAATGACTTGGACTTGTGATACTAGGAACTATCCAACAGTCGAAGAGCAGAAGAGATTCGTCAGAGCATATCTCAACCATCGTCCACATTTCAATCCTCACGCCAACTTGACTCCAAAGATGGAAGGCAAAGATGCACCACCAGGCAGTATCAAAGAATTCATGTTGGATAGTCGAACACCAGGTGGCGAGAAGGATACCCCACCTAGCAGTAAAAGTCTATATGCAGAAGAAGAAGCAAGAAGAGAGCAAGAGACAGAAAAACAAGTCGAGGAGATGTTGAAAGAGATTCGGATGTGGAGGTTGGCCAATAGTGCGCAATGGGTTGCATGGGGAATCGTACAAGCTAAAGTTCCCGAGTTGGATGATGCGCCGCCGTTTGTTGTGACGCCGGATGAAATTGACGGGCCTCAGGATGGGATTCTTGAACATGCGAATCCTGAGGATATGAAGATGAAAATGGAAGATGAGAGGGAAATTAAGATAGAAGAACAGGTCGAGGAGGAAGAAGATGAATTCGACTATCTAGGGTATGCGCAAAGTAGAGCCCTTTTCTTCTGGGGAGATGTAGTTGGATTGGGCATTATGAAGAAAGAGGAACTACCTGAGGGGTTGGCAGAGAGGATTAAGCTTTTGGAATGTTAGAAATAGTATATGGGGTGACCAGAAGCTCAGGGATGATTGTACAATTTGACTCCAAGCAGGTGAGGGTGAGGATGGGAGTGGGGGACGGGAGCTGCTTCTGAAGATCAATGTGTGTGGGAGTTTCACCATGTGAACGAGCGAGATTCACACATAACGAGCTACGATACCTATATATTTGAAACTTAGACATAACAAAGAATTTGGGATGTATTAGATTTGACGAGCGATTGTCATATCGGAGTTGGAGCGATGTATGCTATTTGGGTACAGATAGATAGTGAATAGAAAATGTACTATGCCATAAGGAAATTGAGGGTCTTCATCTATTCGTCTTCCCAATTAATCTTTCATTCTGTATCTCCATTACTACGCTTGGAAGTCCAAGGTAACAATCATTTCTTTCAACCGTGAACCATTTTTTCCGTTCATTGATTAGTATTCTTCTATTTGTATAAATCGATGCTTCTACTTATTGTGTAAAATGCCAAGATATATGTAAGCATCGGATTTAGCATTCATTACCGATTGTTTATTGGCTAATAATATATGCTGTGGTGATGCAACTTTTCAAATCATGTCAGCTGAGAAGCCTGTTCCAAAACAACACCTCAAATATATTTTTCATTCGGCATTTTCGCTTCTCATGATTGCCTCGAGATCTAAAATTCCTAAAGCCCGCTATGTTTCAATTGCTCGAACTTAGATCTTGATCATATAGCATGTCCTTACTTCCCCGAGTCTGGAGCCTATTGAGAGGGGTCAAAGTGCGATGGAATTGACACTTTCCATTCCTAACGGCAATCCAAACCCAAGTATCGAGACCTATAAACTTGCCTTGCGACATCTCGAAAACGCCATTTCGAAGCGATCTCTTAACAATTACTCTTCAAATTCCTCAGGCGGTGGTGGTAGTGCGCTCTGCAATCATTGCGTTACAGTAGACGAGCGACTGAAAGGCGTATGTTATAATGATGATACAGCTCAAAAATTCGAGTTCGACGTGAGCGCCAGAGATGCTTCTGATAATCTACATCTGGGTAGTTTGAATGAAATATTCGCTGAGCAAAATTGCTCTTTTTGTTCTTTACTTGCAAGACAATTTTTGCGGAAGAAACGAAGAGAGATTTATATGAATGCAGGATCGAGGGGGATAGATCTTCATAGTTTGCCTCTGACTGGGCTCCTTGAATTGGCTTTTACGGAGGAGCTCGCCGGAAGTGGGGATGGGGTAGAGTGGATCATTGATCCGTTCTTCGAATCCCTTCAACTTTCTCTTAGTACTATTATAAGTGATGGAATGTTATCGATCTGGTGGCCTGAAAATACAGTGGAAGATATCAATGATGAGCCTACCCAGCTTCCAATGCTCGCCGCTGATCACGAAGCTATATTCACCGGTGTAAAAAGACCCTGGATCCCTTTGCCGAGTGGTGAAATGAGTAGTGAAAGAGATCTTGGCATGTTCTCAGACTGTTTAAATTCTTGTTTACAAAATCATGAGAAATGCCGAGCAACACAAATGACCGGAGCCCTTTGTTTAGGCTTTGGACCAAGTCGATTGATCGATATCGTGGATATGAAGATTGTGAAATTGGGGATCCATGAGGTTCCAAAGTATTTCATTTTGAGTTATGTATGGGGGCATCCACCATTTCTTCTTCTCGAGAAGAAAAATGAGAATGAGTTCTCCACACCAGGTTCTCTTGGAGCCCAAAGAATACCGCAAACGATTTTAGATGCAATTGAAATTACTCGACGCTTTGAAGTACGGTACCTGTGGGTCGACGCCCTTTGTATAGTGCAAGATGATTTCGAAAGCAAAATGCATGAGATTGATCGAATGCATACTATCTATGCACAAGCGGAAATGACCATCGTAGCAGCCACAGGCGATGGTGCAAATTTTGGATTACTGGATCTCGTTCCAATATTCACAGACGCAGAAACGCACTTGATAAACAACATCAGATTCACAGTTGACTCAATGGAACTCCGTGAAGTGATAGAGTTTTCAACATGGTTTACCCGCGGGTGGACATTTCAGGAATTAGTATTTTCAAAACGAATTCTTTGTTTCACAACGGAAAGAACTTATTATTCGTGTGAGGAAGGGAGTTGGAGTGAAGATTTTCCACTGTTGACTCGGGCTGTCAATGAGAATGGAGATACGGATGAGATTGAAAACATATTCTATGATGAGAGTCTCAAAACGGGCTTCGATTTTCGGAATAAACTGGATCCATTCGAAAATTACATGGAAATGGTGTCGAAAATGTCTACAAGACAATTTACCCAAGAAAGCGATTGTCTAAATGCTTGTCGGGGGTTTTACACAGGTCTTCTTTTGAAAGGTCTAGGGGGCTCAGTATGTGGAATACCGGCTATCTGTTTTGAGTTCGCTCTGGCTTGGCAACCGGAGGGGATCCTCACGCGCAGAGGATGTCAAGATTTGAGCTCTGGGAACTTTCAATTTCCGACTTGGTCGTGGGCAGGTTGGAAGGGACATATTGAATATCCACTCCTTGGAAGTCCGGAGAAGTGTGGGGTAAAAGGGGAGGTGAGGTGGGCGGTCTATGAAGCTTATAAGCCAATTTCCGGCGCAGATGGTGAAGTAAGAATAAGACAAGCGAAAAGATACAAACAGGTCGTCCCCACAATCAAAGTACACACCTCGCCATCACAAACACATCAAAGTATGAGTTCATGGTGTACGCATTCTTATTCACCCACACTAGGATCAAAATCTCCCAAGCAGAAGTTTAAGGCTCTACTTGATGTAGAGGGCGACCCGGACGCGAGCTCCCGGAAAATTATGTCAAGTAACTTCATCGGTCCAAGTATTTTGTTGTTCCAAACGTATTCTATTACATGTCAAATTGATATGAATGAAATCTCACAACCGCCACTTGCGAGACACAAAGACTTGAGATTCTTCGCCGTCTCTTCTCTTGCGAAGACTGAAATGATCGGAGAATTAAAAATCGATTCCGCCACTTTGAATACTTTTCTCGAGTCACACATTCCCTCAGACTCGACAAGTACAACTCTACAAATAGAACTTATTTCCCTGTTTGAAATCGATTTTGGGAGCTCGTCAGTACAGAATTTGATGTGGATGAATGGGCATAGTTCGAGAGGTACGTTTTCGAAAGACTTTATGCAGATGGTGGAGAAGAGGGAGAGTAGGAGAATGAAATGTGTTATGTGGATTGTGTGGGATGAAGAGGAGGGGTTAGCGATGAGGGTTGCGGTAGGATGGGTGAGCGTTGAGGGGTGGCAGAGAGAGGGTCCGAGGTGGAAGGAGGTGGTGCTCGCGTGAATAGGTACAGAAGAAGATATTTGCGAGAGAATCAGATGGACGTGCTACAGAGGGAGTATTAGGGCAGTAATCGCGGCGGTGCAGTGGATTGGGATCGAAAATGAGTAGTTTCGTGGACCAAACTGACCAGTTATGTTGATCATTCGTACCATTCTATCTCATTGAGTATTCAACAACTTATTCATGTATACACTATCAAGAATAAGTATTAAAGCTCAAAATTCGATATCTTTCAGAAACACAAACGTTTCAAGCCTTAATTCTACCGTGAGATCGGCCATGCATACTCAGATAAAATAGGGAGACGAGCCGCTAAACGCTGTCTTTTTGTGGCGTAAGTGCACGTGTAAGATTAATGAGGGGCAGTCGGATGCAAGAGTTTGCATAGATGGGAGCGGAGGGACTTTACTCGAAGATTCACGAGTTTCAAAGGTGCGAGTGCACTGGTATACCTCAGGCTTGCAGATCCTTTTGAGTCTCATTTGATATTTCTGCTAGAAAATCTTCAAGGCAGACATTTGACATACTAGTATTACCGCAGCTTATTCTAGCTCGCATTCTCGGTTCTGAATTGAATAAGTCAAAGTGCCAAAACCACATATTAAGGTTTCTTGCAAAGGTATCTCTGTAGAGACCGCTCACCCCCAGAAGCACACAACAGAATGTCATGTACAAGACAACTATACCATCCGCTAAAAGATGGTGGAACCAGAGTTCTCGGAATAGAGCCGGGCACCTTCAACGAACCTATTCACTGTACTCTATCTCCACATCTACTTAATGAGAATCCTACATACCAAGCACTTTCCTACACATGGGGAGATCCATCAATTCGTGCTCCGATTAAAGTAGATGTTCATCTATTCACAGCGACCACGAATTTAGAAAGTGCGCTGAGATATCTTCGGGATTCCAAAATCCCTCGCGTTTTCTGGGTCGACGCGGTCTGTATCAACTAGGGAGATATTCCCGAGCGGGGTATGCAGGTACAGCAGATGCGTCGCATCTATAAGGACGCTAGAGATCTGATAATATGGCTCGGTGCACCGGAGCTTCCAACTAGAGAAATGTGGGGTGATGAACATCTTGATGTGGAGACTGAGGATGCTTCTTCTAGCACTTCGAATCAATTTGATGCCTTGAGGTTACTTGCTAGTCGGTTTCAAAGCGTCGAACGTGGTGAAACAAAATGGCCTCACCTAGATTTGGAGAACAAAGATAAATGGCGAGATGCATTGCAAAACGAGTTCTGGACACTATCGAAGAATCTTTACTGAAGCAGGTTATGGATTATCCAAGAAGTTGCTCTGGCGAAGAATCCCATCGTTCATTGTGGTTCACATTCAATCTTATTTGATGATTTAATTTTTGCCATTCATTATGTTTCTTCTTGTGGGACGCATTATGCTGTGTCAAGTGGCGAAAATCACTGGTTGTATGAGTATTCGTATGGTATCAAAGGACTTGTTCATTCTAGATTCAACGTTGCCACGAATAAGTCACTTCTACTCAGTGAAGTTTTGGAGATAATTGGTCCTCAAATTGCAGTCACAGATCCCCGCGACGGAATCTATGGTCTGCTTGGACTTGCAGATAGCTACAATATCATACCAGATTACACATTATCGAAGACTGAGGTCTACACGCAAGTTTCGAAGAACCTACTTAGCAAGGGCAATTTTAATTATCTGGAAGTTTAGCGGATAAAAAGATAGCTCCAGCAATGAATCAACATCCTGGGCCACAGATTTGGACATCATAGCAAAGCATTCTTTTGGGGTCAGACCGCTTGCAATATACGACAACGGTGTATATTATTATAAAGTTGCAACCGATCTGACTTTATTTTTGAATTTCATGACAACAATCGTGTTCTGAACGTCAAAGGCGTGTTAATAAGTGACATCGACAGATGCGGTCAAGTCATGGACGCAGATACGTACTCGCATTTCGGAATTCTAAGTCAGTGGAAAGATATTATGATACGCCAATTTCGATGCGATCACCAAGTAACATCTGCATTCGACAAATCAGGTACGATTATGGATGTGTGGGATTCCTGGAAGACCAAGAATTTGCAGTGCGAATTTTTCATGGCCAAATAATCGGGGACCAATCAGCGATAAAACTTTAGGTGGTTGGAGCGAGGGAACCATAGACACAGATGATTGCAAACTTCTATCTTGATTCCACGTCAAGCGAGAGCATCAATGAAGCACCAAGAATTTTACAAGGCAGGGGGTACTTTAATGGAAACATATTGTCGCACCTTATTGATGAATAAGATTTTGTCCAAATCAGATACCCTCGAAAGGTTCCACGACGAACATGTTTCCGAATACAATGAAGATATGGGTAGACCAACACCAACAGAGCTAGAGGAAATGTCTATGCTTCGTGAAAGTAGAATGTTTGACAAGTATCTTGAAGAAGTGACTAGAAACCGAAGACTCTTTATCACTTCAGACGGATATATTGGGTGGGGCCACCAACAGGTAGAGAAATGTGATAAACTGTATATTTTGCATGGGTCACCGGTGCCTTTTGTTTTGAGACCATGTGGTGATTTTTGGATTGTGGTTGGTCAATGTTATGCACATGGTCTTATGAACGGGGAGATTGGAAAGGCTTTGGAGCGTGAGGAAGTGACCTCACAGATGTTTGAGGTTAGATGATTTAGGATTGATAGGAATACATTTCGCTAGATTGACACTAAGTTATCTTTACAATAACTACACCAGCGAGCGATGAATTTACATGCGTCTCCAATCTCGCCTCTTTTCTACCGTTGGTGGTCGACTTCCACTCAGTCTCTAATAGCTCCGCTTTGCACGTTGCAATTGTATGAGATTACTACTAGTTCCCTAGAATGATAATAAACACCAATCAATATTTGATAGTGAGCGTTTCCAATAAAAACGAATCAAAAACTCTACTGCCAAAATGCGATTCTTTTTGGCCCAGTGACAGCAATTCCAAATCTTCAATGGCGTTAAAAGGGTCGACGGAAATTTTTCTTTGGTTTCATTGGCGACCGTGACTTTACCATCAATTTCGATTAATTCATAGAACTCGGAGCTCAAATGTACGAAATAATTCTCCCTAACTCACTTCGAATAAACAATACACACTCTCTCAGATCGTCCCCAACATGTGAGGCACTATAACACAGGTGTTTCCAGATTACAGAGGAGCAAAAAAGAAGAAGAGCAAAGGTCTCCTTTATACATCGAGAATAAACCAGTGAGCAGTGAATATCTTATGAAATCAACCCGATGCTTGGTGTTCGTGTTCGTGTTCGTGTTCATACTTTCACTGTCAATTTTAGTGATATCATAGCAATCGGTTTGGCTTCGTCATTTTGATCCTCATTACCAGCTGATAAGTTTGACCTCATCCGGCGTGCCATATCAAAGCCGAATTTGTATCAATACGAAGCCATCTCTTTCACAAATTTCGCATCCTAGCCTTTTCGAACGAACTAACTAGTCGATTTCTCGCAACTGAGCAAAAGGAACGAAAATCCGAAACCCCCCGGAGTTGAGTCGACGTGAAGATGATGATTACTTCTCAAAAGAAACTGCTACCTCTCCTAACCGGCTCTAATTAAGTGCTTTATATTCTGAGTATAAAGTCTGGTCACTCTTTCCAGGTATTGCTCGCTGTATCCACAACCTTTGAATGATACCATTTTCCTACAGGGAGCATTGCACATAGGAGTTCGGTTTGTTATACAGCCTGCAAGACTGACATATTATCTTTACATCAAGCCTTTATCTCATTATCTAATAGTTCTCGTTGTACACCACACCCGCCGCTCAAGTTGGATGTCGATACTGTTCTCGTTGTCACGAAATGTATTGCTGCTCAAAAATCTTCAAAGCGACATTTTTCTCGGCATGTAGTTCTCGTTGGTATTTCAAATGAATCGCTCTGAGGGAATGCCTCGATTAGAAGTACGATATCGAATGATAGTAGTACATAGGTAGTCACCGAAGGATTTATGGCACACTGTAGAAGGCTTCAGGTATATGTGCTCTCTGCCTTCTCTCGAAGATTCACCCTAGTGAAAATTGGTCTAGAACCTGACTATTGAGCGTTTCTTGATTCAAGATCAAACCGTGACCTATTTTTTGTCACTGATTCCGTAAATGAAGTACATAAACACCTATCTCATCGAAACTTTTTCACAATACCAAAGCAAAATAATTTGGAGTTGTTCCAAGGGAGCATGTAAATTGATATTTGATATTGAAATGAGAATTGTGGTGCATTGAGTATTCCATACAACACTCATGGTTCATCAATGTCTACAGCAAGGAATGCTGAAGATAGTAGAGCTTATGGAGTTCTTGCTGTCATGTATACCTGTCGTTAACTGTCTCCATATCCGTCTCCTCATCACTGTTTAGGAAAGTATTCGCATCGTCACCGTATATCTCCCGCTATCAATATCCCACCCAAAATCAATCCAACATGCCTTCAAAAATTTACGAATATATTATTTCACAAATATATGCTAGGACATTCCTCAAAAAATCAGTAAGATCAAGTTTTCGGGTTCAAGATCTCCTGATCACCTGCTTAGGGGCTTCTAAACGCAGTACCTGAGGAGGAGAGGAAAGGAGGGAGAGGGTGTTGAATTTATACCACTCGAGTCTAAAAAAGTGAGGTATTACATCATTTTCGACTATTGTTGAGACCACTGAATTTGATCCCATCAGATCTTTGAGCAGTCAAGAGTCTCTAATTATGGAAAGCCATGAGCCATCGGAAGAATCTTTGATGCTGCTCCCCTCAATTCATTCCGCTCTTCTCCTTTCACTTTGTCAATCTCGACTATCTTACAAAACATGAAAGAAACCTCATCATTTACTCCGTTATTGCCATAATACACGCAAAGTCCACCAACTGTGTTTTGTGACACAAGTTACCTAGGAATTCCGCATTTTATCGTCACCATGTTATTGCATTGCTCCAGCGAAAGAAGGCGGAGGATAAAAATATATGAAAACTATTTTCACCAGGCGTCTCCTCTTTCTAAGGAGTAATAGCAGAGTCTAGAATGACAATAGCACAATTTCCCACAATAACCGGGAGATTTTGACAATCAACGTATCGAGAAGTTGTTAATATAGTGGAAGATGAAAGCGGACACTCATATCAAGCATTACTCGTTCAAGCCCCGAAACTGAGAGGATTTGAGCATATGAATTTTTGTCATTAACGGGAAATCAAATAGGTACCCTTCAGAATGGACACTCATACCATTAAGAAGTTGGGAATAATTTCAACGACCTGCCAAACCTTCAGACGTAACTGAGGGTCCCGTACCCCCAATCAAAGAACCATAGGTTTTGTTCCGGCCCCATCCATAACTTCTATTTGTCTCTCGACACCTGATTGTTAAGCCATGAAATGCGCATGGCGACTGAACCATAATCATTTCTTTCAAATAGACCTGACGCGAAATCAACGATCAAATCAATGCTCACAGAAATTATAACCCGAATTATGCCATTCCTCTCCAGCCGTTCTCACAAACGCGCCACGTTCCTCCATTAGTTTGAGCCTATGCTCCTTGGCCTCTTCAACCCCCATAAGTAATGGATCACCACCGGTTCTAAAGTGCTCTCGCACCATTTCCATCAACTCCGGTGAGAGTTTCATATCTTTTGTCGAAGTATCCGCATTTAAGCCATTCTCATTCAACAGGATTACTAACTCCGCAGGAAGCTTCGAAATAGCTACTCTGCGAGCCTCGGGGGTATTTCCAAACACGGATTCGACCCACCAATCCAATCGTTGCGGTGGAACGTTGGCGGTGGAAATGATACGTAAGGTTGGGTCTACGAGCCATAGGGCGATGAATCGTCGACAGCCTGGTTTGGTCGGATCTTCTAAGCGAAAAGATGAAACTTTGTGTTGACTTTTATGCGTTAGCACCCAACGAACAAAGAATCGAGTGATTAACTTACAAGACGTTAGGAAAAGCAAGTAGTCTTCCCTGACGTGTTTCCACACTATCATAATTTTGAAGACACGGAGAATTCCCTTGTTTCAGACTTGTTCCAAAGACCTGCTCTAGCCAACAATAGGAATCTTGCCTAGCTCCGAGGTCATCGTCATTTTCCTCCGGTGTCTGCATACGGAATGAAAGGTCATTCGAAGTGATATTCTCACTACCAAGATAGTAGAGCGCAGTACCGGCAATGTGCTCATTCATGTGTCCCTCAATCTTGAGTTTTGTTAGCGTTAGACTCTTTTCGGATAAGAGTTTTTCACTCACATGCCAATTGCCCGCCGGAAATTCAGGCTTTTCCGGAGTAAGTTCAATGGATGCCATCTTAATGATGATTTGGAGACCTGACTCTTGAAACTGGTGTTCAAGGCGAAGCTTGATTGAATAGTCAACATCTTAGAAGAAAGGCTCTGGAATGACGGGTTCGCCCGTCTCGGTCCATTTTTCTTCAGCTTCTCTCTCTTCTATTTTCAATTTCATCTTCATCACCAGTGTCAAAATCGAATTTATCTTGGTCAACTACTTGCTCAGGGCTCGGAGAATTCCATAGCTCCGTATTTTCGCCGCTGGAATCTAGTCAGACTTAAGATACTTATCCCGAAATGATTGGGGGAGACACCTACTCCTGGTCATCAGGGTATGGGAACCGAGGCTCTAGTCTTCCCGCACCATATTTTTTTATCGTAGTCGATATCAATAGCAAGACATTGATTCCATAAGGGAAGAGTGGTCTCGACTAACTTTTCAATTGTGCGGTAAATCTCAGGGTACTTGGTTGGATGAATGTTGTTGATGTAACTGGTAAATTTGACTGTTCCATTTTCTTGGAAGGCTAAATTTGCAGGCAACCATTGATACTTGTTTGACCAGTAATGCTTTTGTCCTGCGCCCCAACTTTGATATCCCTTAGTGGCACTTGTTTGCTCGTAGCTTGCCCCTCCCAACGGGATGATTTCACCTTTTCCTGCCCATTTCTCGATGGCGTCATTGACTCCAACGACTTCATCCTTCATGACTCGACTACGACCGTAGATTAAAGGGTACATTGAAGGATGTACGAGATCTTGAACCATGTCACTCGAGTTGGGATGCCAGTCAAGTGATGAATATTGATCCCTCTTAAGCGTATCAAACGCCTCGCGCAGAGATCCATGGAGCTCAGTAGAGACCAAATGATCGGATTTGGCAACAGATGCACAGGCGTCAAGAGTTGGAATGACACTGGTTTTTTCATAATATTTGGCCTTACTTCGAAGTTCTTCGATACACTTTTCAACATCAGATTAGTAGCAAAAGCCATTATGCGGAGAGGCACTTACACAATCAAAAGTACTGGTGTCCATGATATCCTCTATTTTTCTGTCAAGGTTATCATGACTCAAGTGAATCATGCCGTCGTAGTTCCGAGTTTGTTGCTTATCACGAATTGCCATCATCCAAAATTGTTCGTCTGGGATGTCTAGAGCTTCTGCACGCCACTTGGACACAATGTACTCGTTGAAGATTTTCTTATGCCACTCTTCCTTATCCGTGAGACGTTCCATAATGCTCATCATGGCAAGCTCTCGGACATGAATTAGTTTCGAATTTGCACCCCAACAGCCTTGATGGGCACCAATCGGATAATGACTTGTGTTGTCGGAGACTCTCTGTGGATCATAGTGTAGGGGAAGGCCGAGACCTGGATAATCTGGCATGGTGAAAAGTTTTCGACAATCTCTTTGCTTTTTCTCGTTTTGATGGTTGTAGGTGTGTGTAGAGATAATGAATCCAATGAATGTGTTTGATGTTTAATATGAGAATGGTCGTCAGAATTTATATCTCATTGCTCAGATTATGTGTTCAAACGAGATGAAATGTCTGATTGATAATTATTTAATCCTAGAACGCTCTACCTATTCTGTCTAAGAAAGAACCAGAGAAAACATTATAAGATTAGTCAAGATTGTTCAAGATTGTTCAAGATTTAATATTATTAATATAAAATCTAGATATAACGTGGTTTATCATTGAATAGCCTATATCATTAAGTGGCCCACTTTTATTTCAATTTATACTTTCAAATTCATATTATTCAATAATAATTGAATCAATTAATTAAAACTATTAAGAATCTAATAATCTAGAATTTATTATATTATTTTAATAGATTCTTATATTATATTCTATCTTTCTATATTTATTATAATATCAATTAAAAAATACTTTCTTATTAAAATTCCCCTCTTTTTGATACTTATTATATCAAATCTGAATATCAATTTTTTATTGAAATAATATATTAAAAGCCTTTTGTTTAATAAACACTCCTTTTTAATATAATTAAGTTTTTTATATATATCGATGTTTACTTAATACCTTATTTATTGTTTAAAGTATACAATTCTTTATATTTAAAAGTGTGTTCTTATGAACTAATCTCTCTATACTTTTAGTTAAAATTAGTACAATTTCGAATATAAATATAGGAGAGCTTAATTAATAACAAGTTATTTAAGATTTAATTAATATTGATTAAAAAAGAGCTTCTATTAGATTACAAGGGATTTGAAAGATTTATTGATTTAGATTAAAAAAGAGAAGGGTAGGTATACGAATTTGAATATCTAATTTCGAGAGTATAGCTTTAGGATTAAATAGGATTAAATTTATTCCTCGAAATCTTGATTTCATATTCTGAAAGGTGATTGATTCCTTATATATAGCTTTCAAAGCTATAAAGAATTTAATCTTTGAAATATAATTAATATATACCTTGATAAATTCATCAATTTGATTATTATATAAATATTTTAAATTACTAAAACAGTTAATATCAAATAATTAAATTAAATGACTTGAATACAATAGTAAATATAAATATATAATATTATTCTCTTTATAGTATATTTGAAAAGCTATTGATTTATGGTTTTCATGTTTATCCAATACTAATATTCGATATTTACCCTTTCTTCAATTCTTAATATATTTATTAAAGTATTTCAACCATTCTAAACCCGTATTATTATACATTCACCCATTAAATATAAGTTTAATAGCTCATTCTATAAGAAGATTTATTTCAATATACCAATTAAAAAAATGAATTTGTTCTTAAACTACTAAAAATAAGGGAATAATTTCATCCTTTTCATTTTCATATATTATTACTATAACCCATTTTTGATTACTTAACTATATTGTCTTACTTTTATTATTTCGTTCAATACTAATTATTATCATTGCTACACATATAATCCCCATTATAAAGTCTGTTTTATCGAAATTATAAAAATCTTTATTCAAAATATTATATTTCGCTTATATATTCACAACTAGTCGAAACTATTCTTCAAAAAGCTTAAGATTTTTATAAAGAGCTTTTTGAAAATTATAAATATAATTAAAATATATCTTTAATTTGATTTGACACTTTACAACTCAATACATTTAAAACTTTTCAATACATTTTACACCCTTCAATTTGAGAATATCATTCATTATATTTTCTATATTTTTTAATTTAAATGAAAATCCTTTTAAATTTATATTAAATATATATTAAATAATTATTTTTTCTTCTAATTCTATAATTTTATAATAATTTATTCAAGTTTTTATATAAAGAAATAAACCTTTCATTTTATATTGAAAAGTTGTATAAAGAATATTATAAAATATAATAACCTTTGAAATACTTAATTTTTTATTTTTATAAATAGTTTTAATAATAAGAAGTATATAAGCTTTTTAATTATTTGAATTTATTATAGGTTGTTAATAAAATATATATTGAAAGAGATAGGTGTAAATTGAGATGAAAGTGGGCTACTTGATGATATAGGCTATTCAATAATAAACCATGTTATCTAATATTGAATAATTAAAGCTAATTATATTCGAATTAGTTTAGACAGACCTTAGGAACTAGACCTTTATCTTCATTCTATAATTTCTTAAATAGGAAGAAGTGAATATCAATGAACAATTTATCTGATATTAATTACTTAGGTTAAATGATTCCTCTAATGTCAATCTTTCATTTCAATCGAATATGAATATGATGCCTGGAATTAGGAAGTGATCACGTGGCGATATTATCACGAGATCACTCAGGGCATGATATTGAGACCGGCAACGAGCATTTCACCGAGGTGCTTCGCCATCAGGGCCAGTCCAATGGTGAAATGCTGGATATGAATCTCGAAGCGTTTGCTTGCATGATCCAAAATGTCCCTGCCAGGAGAGTTTAGTGAGTCTAGCCGGTCTTTCTGTATATTTGAGACTTCTCTTTTCGAAGATGATACCTAGGTGATTAGTAGGTAGTGTCACAATATATGTATGTATCAACGACATACAGAAGTTGTTCTTAATCGCTCATATCAGCGATGATCAGCACTTCTTTTCCATTCTTTTCCAAACCCTTCTTCTATTGTCGTCGCCAGATCTTCCGTAATCGTGGTACACGTGTTTGCACCTCGTTCCTCAAGTAACGAAATCACTACCCCCCTCCGAACTTAATTGCTATCATCTTCGCTACCATTCACCTCTACTCAAACACTTATACCCTCAGTCATCTTGAATCTAACTTGCGTTCAAGCAACACTGCATGGATTATAGGCATCTTACCATCACGCCCACAGGAAAGCGTATATCTCATTACCATCAAATTTCAATGCAACCTCGAGATCGAAGCTTCCTGCCCTTTTCACCTGAAAATTCTCGCTGTCACTTTCTCAACCGTTACATAATAAAATTGTTCGTGGCCGCTTAGAGATATACAGAATTGTGTAAGTATTGCTTCTAACTGATCATTACTCGCAGTAAATGGGAACATGCGTGCCATGAAACCCTACTCTATCTCCCCTTGATGCTGCCCCCACCACTTATATGTGCAACCTATACACACCTACTCTTAGGTTGAGGGACGATGCTTTATATAACCCGCTTGGATTCTCACTTGCTAGCGATCACAATGTACCATGTAAGATCTTACATCCGATTCTATACCCCTACCTTATTCCCTAGCCTCAAATGTCAACACTCGAAAGACGGACACATGTCATATAATAAATTTCCTTGATTATTTCTCCTACTTGTGCTTTTCTAATTCAATATTTCGCTGTCATTCCATTTCTCTCCTCCCAATTATACCCACACCCCATTAAAGTCCACGAGATGTGAACTTCTCATAAGCCTTGTTTATGAGGCCAATAACGAAAACTATTTGTTTCCAATGCATCGCTAATTCACCTTCCATCAAGCCAGGCTTTTCTCCTCTTGATCCACAACTCTAAAATCTCTTCCCCGGCTTCTGCAAATCCCCCCAAGCAGTATTGACTTGTTTCTTAAGCTCCTTGAAACTAACAATAAAGCAATTTTCTCCATCTCTACTTGTCAATTGAATCTTCTCATCACTCCCTGCATCTAATTTATTCAAACACCTTAAAATCCACGCCATATCCGTAACTGGTCTTCCTTCCGGATCGACTGAATGAAACACATAATCTCTGAAAAGTTTTAAAGTATATTGATTTCCGGTTTCGCTCCATTGGGGATTATTTTCATATTCTGGTCTTTCATTAATATTGCCGAGTTTAGCCATTAGGCGAACGAGTCGACCATTCTCGAGCTCACGACAAAGGTCCGAGGTTAATTCGTCCTTCGCTTGGAGGGAGCTATCGAAGGCAGTGGCCATACGGCCGGAGATTCCTCGCATGAAAGTTTGTAAGTCTTTCGTTTCCGGGGAAGAAGGCGTCGAGAGAAGCCATGCTATTGTATCGACAAGTTCTGCAGAGTAAATTCGGCTAAGACTATCAATGTTGGTTTGCAGAATTTGAGGGTTGGTTTGAGGTGTAATTGATGAATTGACTGTGGCCAAGGATAACATAAGTATTCCGAATAGATGTAAATCTTCATATTGAAGTTCCTTGATATCCCGACGTTGATCGTAATGTAAGATGTCGAAGATAGGGCATGCATTAAGACGAATTCGATTTTTGTCTGTGAGAATAACTTTACTCAAATGCATACATCGTACAGCAAAATTGGCCTGATGAACAGCCTTAATTGCAACTGTGATCTGTACTATATATGCCCAAAGAACATCTTCAGATATCCGAGTAAGTTGATTTCTATAACGGCTTGAAGTTGTGGTAGAAAAGTGAAGCTCTAGAAGAGTTTTTGAAAGTGGGTGGTAATTGGTGACAATGATCAATGAACTACCATCTTTGAATTGTCGTGTAGTAAAAGCATCAATAAATGATACTACACCCGCACTATTGACTTCACTCCATTTCTTGATTGCTCGAATGGCTTTATCATTGGCAAGAGTGTAACCTATCATTCGTTAGTCCTCGTTCACAGGAAGGAATGTATTTAGCTGTCTCACCTTCTAGTCGTCTCAAGCAATAATAGTTGCCATTCTTTTCTGCACGCGCTTTGTATACCCAACTTGTGCAACCAAAAACAGCGATGCTCCTATTCTGAGTTGTGTCTAGAGCGACGAGAGAATGGTATGAATTCGGTGATGTACCAATGTTCGGAAGGGCATCTAGTTTGATTAGTAATGAAACCATCAAAATTTTTCTCATGCTTACTTGGCATTACTTGAAGAACAGCTTCAGACTTTCTTTGAAGGTCTTCACGAAGCCGGTCGGATAGGAAAAGATCATGGATAGATTTTTGATAAGGCATCAAATTATCCGTATGTGGA